AACCTGGAGATCTAAACTTAGACTCCTTGCCCAGCAAGCCACATCCGAAACCACAGACCCTTGAACTGCCATTAAGTACCCTTAAGCCCGATCCCTAAGGCCCGGGCCTCCCGAAGCCACGTCTCGCGCAACTTCTTCGGGGGCGACAGCACCAGCTACGCGAGCTTCGACCCGGCCAAGGAGCAGCCACGCGTGGTTCGGAGTTTTTGTTTCCGGTGTTTATAGCTTGAGGTTCAGGTCAACACTTGCGAAGCTTTGGATTGTAATTTATTCTTGTTGCGGAGGCCGACCACCTTTGCAAACCGGGAGCTCCGAACCCTAAGCCTAATCTTGAAAACTTGGAATCAAGATTTGTAGAACTCCTAAGACTGCAAGCGTGAACATGTCCAAGCCTTGCTCCTCAGATCCCCAACCCTTCGGGTGATATCAAAAACACTGTCAACCCTACTCTCATGCTAGCAAGCACTAAACCCAACAACCTTCAAACCTGCAGCCGGAACCCGGAAGAGCGAAACACGAAACCAAACACCCCAAACCCCTCGAATCACTACTCTTAATTCCTGAAGCGGTCGAGCTTGACAACAGCTGAACCGCGGACCATAAACCTGCACAACACCTTGGACTTGCAACAGCTTGCAACCCCAAAGCCCAGAGCACTTGAAATCAGGAGCTCGGTGTCCAGGACCCTATCGGGTTTTGGGATCCGCTCGGGCTTTCAGCAGACAAGGACGAGGCGCGGATTTCAGGGTTCAGCGCCATTCATCGGCGGTTGTTCCTTTTTCACACACATGCGTTCAGGCAACTTTCAAGCGTCGCCGAGCTGTGGAAATCAAGCATGGAAGGATCGCGATGCACCCGTGCTGCGCAGATCTTTTCATAAATTCATTGTGTTGTTCTGCGCGTGGAGCCAGGACTCTAAAGCAGTTTAGCGATGTCACAAGATTTCGAGGTATGCTACAATTGGCTACATTGTTCCTGAGTACTTCCGATGGCCAGGCCTTTCGGTTGCGGACTGCAGCAGGGTGGATGATTCGCACAACTGCGCGTTTCTGTTGCCATGAAAGGCTACCTGTCCCCCTCGCTGGGCCTGAAGTTCTCGGCAACTGGTCTGCAAGTGCTGGTGCTGAGTCCTTGCGGCTGCTTTGCTGAAGAGAGTGTCTGCTGCGTGCTCATGGATGGACTGCTGCACATGGCTTCCCGCAGTTCTGAGTGTAGGACATGCCTACTGGCTTGGCCGCACTTTCGAAGCTGCCCGTGCCGGGTCCTGAGTGGGAGAGAAGGTTAGTTGGAGAATGCAGGAGTATGGAGTTCAATTCTACCGTGATCAGTTCACCAACTTGAAATTTGGGGTACGATTCGAAGCACATGAACCGGTTTTGGAAATGCTTCAGTACCTTGTTCTGAGCCTCTAGAAGCTGGAAGCATGAATTTCCGAGCTAGCGCAGTGCAGGCTATCGCAGTTGGATGATCTCAAACCATCTCAAGCCACTGCCCAGGCTAGGAGGCGCTCAGATCATCGCGTTCGCGGGCCTCATTGAGACGACAGGCAGGTGGAAGTTTGCCTGAGCCCAGATGTGGCAAAACCCTGACGTCCCTAAAGCAGGCTTCTTCCAGGCCGCCTCCACCACCGACGGCCGAGGACCTCGGGAGGGCCAGTTCGCCATGAAGGACTCCACGGAGAATCTCAGAAGAACTTGTGGAGCTAGGGCTAGGGTGCCTGGCCGTCTTTGTGCACGGAACTCTGCAATAGCGCGACGAATGAGCAAGACACATGCCGGATGTGCGATGCGTGTAGCTGAGAGAGCATTCCGCTACCTGAAGCGCCTGAAGCCCCAAAAAGGAAAGAAAAGCCACCGATGGCCCCGAGCGGAGCCCCCCAAGCCCCAGTTTGATCCAAGGAGCGCCGAGCCCGGAAATTACGGCGTCGGCTTTCCCAACTTCATTGGCAAAGTAGAGGACTCCAGACTCAAATGCGGGCCTGAGAAAGTGTGAGACATGAAAAGCATTCAAAAGTTGGGCCGACCCTGGAGGATCCGGAAACTCGCAAGTCCAAGCTTGCGGCCGAGTTGGTGGCTTGGTCAAAGCTGTATGATGCTGGAGCCTCATCGGTTAGTCCCTGACTCTACATGCGCAGGCGAACGGACGCCTGGCGATGATGGCCATCATCGGCCGCCCGGCCGGAGCAAGATAATGTTCGATCAAGATTGGTGTGGGCAGCCTGAATTGTGCGAAGTTTTACCAAAATTATTCAGCCCTCCCACTCGTTTTGGGGATTCTGCATTGTGCGAAGTTGTGCGGTTCAAAACTAATTCCCAGAATACGTCCATGAAGCAAATAGACCTCATTTTGCTTTCAAAAGCATTGCAGGCAGGAAGCAATTAGTTAGGGTCCTAATCCAAGCTGCTCTTTCAAGCTTAGATTTGAGCCCCTTGTCCAGAGCCTGCAGAACCTCAAATCTCCGGATTTTGAGGAGCTCGAAACTCCGGACTTTCAGATTTGAAGCCAGGTCCAAAACCTGTCGATTTCTCATTAAAGCGCTTATTCGAGGAGGCCTAGCAAGAATTTTTGCAAGGGGGTGGTAGTCCGGCAGCTGCCCAGAGCCCCAATAATACGAATGTTTTGGGGGCCCTCAATTATCCGTCAAATCGCGGGACCCTAAAAACAGCCGAAAGCAAAAACCCTTTACTTGTAAAGGCGAAAGCATTTCAAAACAAAGCTTTTAAGATCTCAAATCTCCGGATCCTTTCTAGAATCCTCCTCAAAACCTTTTGAAACGTTTCTGAAAACTGAAATCCTCTCAACTCCTCAAACCTTTCTGAATGCTTTCCGAAACCCTTCTGATCTATTACCGAAGCCGATCCTGATCCCTCCTATTGAGTTTAATTTGAACCTAGGGTCCGAGCCGATCCTGATTTCCTCCTATTGAATTTAATTTTAAGCTAGGATCCGAGCCGATCCTGATCCCTTCTATCGAATTTGATTTTAACCTAGGATCCGAGCCGATCATGATCCCTCCCATTGAATTTGATTTAAACCTAGGATCCGAGCTGATCCTGATCCCCTATTGAATTTGACTTTAACCTAGGATCCGAGCCGATCCTGATCCCTCATTGAATTTAATGCAAGCCTAGGATCCAGATGCGTTTGGGGTTGAGGGCCCTCCTTCACATTAATTAGGGACCTACTTTAGTTTAAGGGGGAGGGCCTTGAGAAGTGTAGGGGGGGCCCCCTACACTCTAACCAATGCCCAACATTAGCACAGTCCAAGTGTGGGATTTATCTGGAGGAGAGCGATTTCGATTTTCTCAGGCATGTTCTTCCAAGATGGACTCACCGGCTCGGCGTGGGGAGATTGGAGCCTTTATACCGCGTCTCCTTTGAGGGCCGAGCCCCTCTCAGCTTCAGCAGCTGCAGCCGCCGCCAAGGTGCGCAGCTCCATGCAGCCCCCGAAAAGTTGAGGTGTGAACATCGTGCCAACTCATGCCAGCATCCTTTAAAGAGTTGATTGATCCAGTGTTTTTGATGCTCCTTTTTGACTAGTGAACACTCTCAAGGCAGCCGCTGCGGCCAAGGGCGCCACGGCCACCACGTCGGCTGTCGCCGGCACTGCCGGCGCTGGCTCGCTGTCCAAGGGCGAGGGTGTGGCCGGAAAGAAGGGCCCCAGCCCCTCATTCGACCCATCCACGCAAATTGGGGCCATGGCTCCTCTCGGATTTTTTGATCCGGCCGGCTTTAGCAAGAAGGGCGACGAGGATGGCTTCCGCACGCTCCGGGCTGCGGAGATCAAGCACGGCCGTGCCTTGTCCAGGATGTTGCATGATGTTTAGCTTCAAGGTTCTTTTCGCATTCGCGAAGTCTCCGAAGCAGGGCCCCATGAGAGAGACCCCGCCAACATGCGTTGTTGAAAACCAGTCAGAAGCGCGCAAAGAAAACGGGCGAACGCAAGGGGCTTCTGTTTCTGTTTGTAGGGGCTCTTTTCGATGCTTTCCAGGCGTGGCCATGATGGCAGCACTGGGTGCCGTGGTTCAGCACTACGTGAAGTTTCCCGGCTTCGACTCCGTCCCGACTGGCCTGGCTGCCTCCATCACGGCTCCTGGCAGCTCCTGGGCAAGTTTACCCCCCAAGGTGATCCCTGCCCTGCGTAACTTCTTCTAAGCCAGTATAGTTTCCTGTGCGGAGGCTACGGCTTTGTGGCCCTCTTCGCCGTGGCCGGCATCTTGGAGTTGGGAGCCTGGACCGAGAGCCCGGAGAAGGAGCTTTACGGTGCCGCAGTGCCGGACATGCGCTGGTGCTAGGATCGTAGGATCATAGGCTTGATCAAACGGATCTGTTTTTTCAGGAGCCCGGCAACTTCG